GCAACCGTGCTACTAAATTTAACAACTGCAGTGATTCACTTAACAACCGTGCCAAGAAAAGTTGCAAAATGAGGCAAAACCCACTCAACGATTCATCCTGCCTTCAGAAATGCATGAGACCTTGTTGGAGGATTCCATCAACAATTGTTTCTTCTTGTCTATGGGGATTCTCAGTCATTCAGGTCATGGTTGTCCCAAAGGTGCTTTTTTAAAAGGCAACTGGAGTTGGTTTTTTCCCTTTGAAGACGTCCCTTTAAGATGTGAGCTACAAATAGTCTCCTTTATTAGGGCTTCTAAAGCTTGGTATAAGGGATGCGGTGGCCAAGATGCTGAGCTTGTCAGCAGTTCGGTGGTTCGAATCCCTAGCGCCGTGTAACGCAGTGAGCTCCCGTTACTTGTCCCAGCTTCTGCCAACCTAGCAGTTCAAATCACGTAAAAAAAATGCAAGTAGAAAAATAGGAACCACCTTTGGTGGGAAAGTAACAGCGTTTCGTGCACCTTCAGGGTTAAGTCATGCCGGCCACATGACCATGGAGACGTCTTCAGAAAAGTCGCTGGCTCTTCGGCTTTGAAATGGAGATGAGCACCGACCCCTTGCGCCGGAAATGACTAGCACATATGTCCAAGGGGAACCTTAAAGCTTGGTAATGTTTAAGACGTGTGGACTTCAACCCCCAGAATTTCCCAGTGAGGAAATTCCACGGTTGCGAAGTCCTAATAAAGGAGAATATTTGTAGGGTTGACATGGGGTGGGGGTGTGATCCTTGGTGGTCTCTGAGCTTGGTTGTTTTCTAACAGACATTTCATTACCAAACTAGGTAACATCACCAGTGCTAGTAAGGAGTGAGGTTTACTTTCAGTTTATATGGTATTATTGGATTGCCCTGTCAGCTTCACCAACAGAGGAACTGTGGACTGCTCCTTTGCTATTTCCAGGCTAGCCCCATCTGCTGGTTCTGAACACCCCGTGGGCTGGATCTATCCCACAGGCCTCAAGTTTGACACCCCTGTTCTCAACTAAGAAATTAAGAAAAAAATACAGCCACAAAATCCTCTTGACCCAGTTGGACAGGTCAAGACTTTGTATTCCCCCCCCCCTTTAGTTGGATTAGAATTAGGCTAAAAACTCATCAGGGTATTTATTAGCCTTTCTTAAATACTTATTGGTATACTTCCTGCTTACTCTATCCTTGCTTCCTGCACAAACTCTTGTTTCTTCAGCTAGTCAGATGCTCTCTTGCCCTTTTTATTTCTAAGCATTTTTCAGGATAGTTAAAAGGCTATTTGTGTACTGAAATATTCCACTCAGGGCAAACAGCTCACCCAGTGACAGGAGGACCACACACCACAGGCTAAAGGTTATTGTTTTTCCAATATATATCTACTAGCTGATAACCTGGAGCTGCCCGGGTATTTATCTATCCCAAACCTCCTTCCATGAATGCCGCTGTAATTTCTAATGCTGGATTTTCCCCCTTACCAGAGGGAGCCCTCTTGTGGAGTACTGTGAAGTCGTTACCATGGCAACTCCACAGTGCTGTACAGTAGGAGCCATTTTACGGTAGTACAGTAGAATCCATTTGAAGGCACAATAGGCTGTATCTTAACAGAAGACATACCCCGAGGGCTGTCTTACCCCTATAGTATTTGTCTCCAGAGAGTAAGTCATCTGTGTACCAAGTTTGGTTGAAATTGCTTGAGGTGTTCCAGAGTCATGCTGGAACATACACACAGCCATTTTTTATATATATAGAAGACGATGCAGTAAAGATGTCCTCTAGCTGAATTTGATTCCTAGAGAGGATGGGATACTTGCATGCTGTCTCCTTAGAAACATTAAGGAAGTGGTATCCTGCTGCCTCCTCTTTTTTCCCACCAGACTAAATTTCAGCCCTGCAATTTTTTGCTGTTCTCCCATCCAGTTTCCAACCCAGCCCAAACCCGCTTAGCTTCCAACCCCAGACATGGCCAGCAGCTCCCGAGACCAGAAAGTCAGGAAATATAAAAAATACCATCTTTATTGTGAACCCTTACAACAAGATGTGAGGGCTGGTGGTCAGAGGATTCATATTACATGGGGGAGAAGCAGATTTACAGTGCGGTGAGGGGGGAGGACAGTGATAGCCATTCACGCATACGCGCACAGGCAAGAAAGGTGGAGGCAGGAAGGAGGTTGGAAACAAGAAGCCGTGAGTGCAGGAGACGAATGGGAGGTAGTGACGGTGAGGGTGGTGGAGGATGCTATAGGCTCCATGGAAGATGAAATTCTTGGGGTGGAAGTGGAGTGCAGTGTGTCGCTTCAAAATTTTGCAGGTGCTTCCGTGCCTGTGGAATGGAAAAAAAAAAGTTACCTTGGGGGGAACCCAACTGGTAGCTTTTGGGCCATCTCTGCTCTCCAAGACCTGAAGAGTGGCTAGCTAATTGCCTTATTTTAAGAGGACCATAAAATAAAGCCATTAGGAGTGATTGATGAGGTGGCCTAGAGGTGGAGCTCTCGCCTCACAATCAAGAGGCTGTGAGTTCGATCCTAGGTAGAGGCAGATATTTCTCTCTCTGGGCACGAGAATATATCTGCTGAACAAAACTCTGCATTGGCGACTGGAAGGGCATCTGGCCAGCAAAACACTCTGCTAGCTCCATTGCCCAGGCTCCACCCCGCAAGGGATTATGGGATTGTCTGCCAATTGCCACTGGTCTGATGGGCCCAGGAAGTTTTCAGCCCGTTTTCGGGCATAACGCCATCAAGATGAGAATGAGGTTGAGCAAACTATGGGGTTAACGTACTGGACTCAAAAACACAGATTGTCAGAATTGGGGGAGAATACAGGCAGTCCTCGTCTTACAACAGTTCATTTAGTGACTTACAATGGCATTGAAAAAAAAATGACTTGGAACCATTTTTCACACTTGCGACCGTTGGGGGTATCACGTGATCAGAACTCAGATGCTTGGCAACTGACTCACATTTATGACGATTGCAGTGTCCCAGAGTCATGTGATCACCTTTTATGACCTTTTGATGAGCAAAGTCAATGGGGAAGCCGGATTCGTTTAACAGCCTTGTTACTAACTTATCAACTGCAGTGATTCACTGAACAACGGTGCAACAAAAGGCCGTAAAATGGGGCAAGGTTTACTTAACAAGTGTCTCGCTTAGCAACAGAAATGTTGGGCTCAATTGTGGCTTGTAACTTCAGGACTACCTGTATTCCCTTTTCCTCAGGAAAAACACCAATTCTGGTGTTTCTCGATGGGAGTGCCTCAGAACACTTTGCTTAAGTTGTTGCCCAGCGTGTGCATCAGTGGAGGGTTTCAAAATTTTTTAGAACCTCTTCTGTAGGTGTGGCTTGCCGGCCATGTGACTGGGTGGGAGTGGCTTGCCAGCCATGTGACTAGGTGGGCGTGGCCAACTTGTAAAATGTGGTGAAACTCACTTATCAACGCTCTTGCTTAGCAACCAAACTGTTGGCTCAGAAACTCCGGCATTTGAAGCACGCAAGTCTTAAAGCTGTCGTTAAAGACTCTTGCACCCCTAACCCTTTAGAAAAAACCCCAGGGGTGTTCAAACTTGACAGCTTTAAGACTTGTGGACTTCAACTCCCAGAATTCCTCCTCTCGCTCTTCATCTTGATGATGTGTGGATGGGCGGGGGGAGGGAGCTGGAACCGGTTCTAAATGGCACTGTAGATTTGTGGAACCTCTTCTATAAAAGAGTTTAGAACTGGCAGGAACCCACCCCTGGTGTGCATGCACAAAATGGGAATTAATCCTAAGGGCCTTACAACACTCTTGTGAAACCTACCTGGTTGGACAGGGAAATGGTGGATGGAAGTGAGGTGGATGTGCTAGAACAATGGAGTGTGGGGAGCAGAATATATGGGTGCAGGCTAGGAGAACTCACCAGGAATAGTGCAAGTTGTCGTCTCCCATCTAGGGTCATGTCTTCACCTGGTTTGAAAACAATAATGAGGTGGGTTGAGAAGATTCTAACAGGGAGGCAAGGTGTAACAGAACCCCCGTTCAGTCAATTTGGGGTTTAAACATGCTGATTAAAGCTCACTTCCTTCTGATCAAATTGGTGGCCTAGGCACAAAAATGGAAGGACACTTTGATCCCCACCATGGATGAACGAATGGCTGCAAAAGATGACGTTGTTAGCAGAGATGGCTGAATTGACCGCTTTGCTCAAAGAAAAAAACAAACAAACCCACAAGTACTTTTGTTTCTACTTGGAAACCACTTCTGGACTTTGTGCTTGAGATTCCAGCGGGGCGGGGGGGGATGAAACTTTGGTTTTGGGTTTTCCCAATTAGATAAACTTGTTGTTATAGAAATGGGTAGTTTGGACTATTATGTAAAAGTAAAAAGTTGAGGTTTGATGTTAATGCTTTATTCTACTGCACCAGAAGGAATCGGAAGTCAATGTGTTTTTTTTCTCCCCTCCCCACTTCGTTTCTATACTTCTTCATTCCCCTCCCGTTATTATTTTTTCTACTATTTGCTTTTGTGTATCTGGTTCGGAATGCGCTCATCATTATTGGTCTACTCCCTTAAAAGTAGTTGTGGGAGGGCAGCATATCATTAGCTAATTCCCACAGGCCAGTAAGCCTTGGCCAACATTATTGGACAAGTCTTCAAATTTCAACCTGGATAGCACATTCTTAAGATTTCTCCCAACCAAGAACAAGACTGAATTGTGTGCAATTCCACCAACTGGTTTTCTGCCATGCCTAGATTTCTGCTCTCCATCCTTCTTGCATTGGACTCACCAACAGACCAGGGAAACTCATCACCATCTTCGGCTTGGTACGACTTCAGTACAGACAAACACCAGTCGTCTTCTACTTCATAGCGGCTATATATAGAGGCTGCAATGACAAGGAGCTGGTGTAAGTAGAGCCCTCTGGCTTGAATGGCAGGGAGATGCAAAGGTGGGGGCACTGCTCTGATTGCAAGGGATTTCTATCTCTCTTCCTCTGTTCCTTTCTTCTTTTCCCCTTTCTTTTCTTTTGAAAGAGCCGCAGTGATTAGAATACGGTACTGCAGGTTACTTCCGCTGACTGCCTGCAATTTGGCAGTTCGAATCTCACCAGGCTGAAGGTTGCCTTGATGACGTAGTGGTTAGAATGCAATATTGCAGGTTTGACTTTGCCCACTGCCAGGAGTTCTATTCTGAAAGGGCTCCAGGTTGACTCAGCCTTCCAACCTTCCGAGGTGGGTAAAAATGAGGACCGAGATTGTTGGGGGAAATAGGCTGACTCTATAAACTGCTTAGAGAGGGCTCTAAAGCGGTGTGTAAATCTAAGTGCTATTGTTATTTTTCCTTTTCCCCAGAGCTCTGTGTTCTCTCCACTTCTCTTCTCTCTACATACCAATGATTGCATCTGTTAAACTACTGAAGTTTGCAGATGATACAACAGTGATTGGTCTCATTCGAGATAACGATGAAACCTCATACAGACGGGAGGTTGAACAACTAGCCTCATGGTGTGACTGGAACAATCTGGAGCTGAACACACTCAAAACAGTAGAAATGGTGGTAGACTTTAGGAAAAACCCTCCCATACTACCACCTCTTACAGTACTAGACAACACAGTATCAACAGTAGGGACCTTCAAATTTCTAGGTTCTATCATATCTCAAGACTTAAAATGGACACCTAACACCA